CTCCGTTTGGCTTCAGGGTGCGAAGGCGCCGCGTGGAACGAACGTAAAGCCTGGCGTTTCGTCACGAATCGAGGCGTTAGTTACACTGACGTGAGAAATCCGTAGGCTGTCGCACGCTTGCATTCGGCCTTGGGTGCACGGGGTTTCACCATGTGAACGTTTTCCCTTTACTATTACTTTTGTGTAGATCTCGAATTCCCAGGGTGGTTTTGTCCGCTTGATAAAGCTACTAGTCAGCAGCAAGTTCTTAATTTAATTAAAATGTAATATTTTAAAGTCTCTTTTACAATATCCTTAGCCTCAAGGGTCAGAAGAGGCCAAAGCGTTTGTAAATGCCTTCCTGAAGCGTAGTATGCCAAAAAAGAAAGATGAAGCTATCCAGGATATACTAACTCGGAAAGCTGTAGTTCTTCAGCATTATTCCAAAAAAAAGACGAAGCAAAAGAGGAAGAAAACAAAAGGTTTTACTGCCAAGCAAAGGAGAGAAATGCGTCTTTTTGAAATTGAACCTGAACAGCAAAGGTAAGATCTTAAATACTTCCTTTGTGTAGTGAAAGTGGAGAGTAAAAGCAGCAGCTTGTACATGTAGATAGTGACCCTTCAGGATGTAAAGTCAGTCTGAGACTCTGTGACATTTCACCATGAGAACACAGTTCTTTTGTCTGTATAGCTGGAAAATTAATTTCTGTTTGTTACTGTCTCTTTCCTTTTGCATAGTTAAACATAACAAGAAATTAAACCCAAATGCAGTCACCTTCACCTCTGATTTCAGTTTTTAAAGTTAGACTGCCTGTGACCAGAGAGTCAAAAATCTGCATCAGGTTCCTCAAACATGTTGAACAAAGCCCCTGCTGTTGCTAACATGAAGTAAGTGGGGAGGTACAGGAGCAGAAATCTCTTCAGTCTTGGACATAGCCACATTTCCTCCAAAACACATCACCGTGTTGTGTTGACAGAGAGGAGCGTACTTAGTTTGTGCTTTTTTCATAAAAGCAAACCTGTTGCTTGGAGTGGCTTATGAGAGCAAATTACAAAATTATAAATGTTAGTCTCAAAATTATAAATGTTACTCTTAACCCTGCTGTAAGTATGGATTACCTTCCATAATCAAGCAATCGATTTTTTGATAATTAAGTTTTGTATAATACTTCTTGTCTTTTTACTGCAGGTACTCAATCTTCCTACCACTACATGAACTCTGGAAACAGTATATCAGAGACCTATGTCATGGACTTAAACCAGATGCGTAAGTTGAGATGTTTTAAAATTAACGTGGTTTTGATCTAGTAGCTATTTCCAGGTTTACCGAGTTACTGCTTCAAACATCATAGTTACTTGATAAGGATATGTACTATTTCTGTAAGCTTTGGCCATGATTTCAATAGTCATGGTCACATTTTGTAAACCTAACTTTCCATATAATTTTCTTTCCCTCTTGTCTGATCCCACCCTCTTCTTCAAGGCAACCACATATGGTTCAGAGCAAACTGCTAAAAGCTGATCTCCATGGAGCTATTGTTACAGGTATTCTGTTTCCTTTTACAAAATCATCTGAACTTCAGTAGACACTCATGTATTTCAGGTGCTTATTTTTAAATTCCTTTTAGTATCACTAACTCTAGAATCACATAGCTAGGATCATATGTCGAGGGATTCTTTCTCTACTTACCAACGCTAATTATTTTTCAACTGCTCTTGCAAATCCTGGCATTAGTTGCAAAGATTAACTGCAACTTTTACCAGCAATTACTGTAATTCCATTATTTCAGAATATTGCAAACCAGTTTTTAAAATCATGAGGCCAACAGTAGAAGAGCAAATAAACTGCCTGCATCTGAAACTTTGTAACCCATACATACTTCTGTTCTTTCAGTCACAAAATCAAAGTGCCCCTCTTATGTTGGGATAACAGGAATCATTCTACAGGAATTTAAACATGTCTTCAAAATTATCACTAAAGAGGACAAATTAAAAGGTATGACAGGGTTTTTTCAGTGCTTTTCACAATTTGAAAAATCATAAATTTCTTAAACACACTATTCACCTTGTATGTCTGAGTACATTGTTTTATACCAGTGCTTTTCATTCTTTGCATAGTGGCAGAAGTCAGTGTCTGCACTGACCGTGTAACAGCCCAATATCTTATGGAAAAAGTATCTAATTAGAAATGAGCAATTAAAAAAAAAAATGCATTTCCAGTGAATCCAACATGATTATGCACATGGCTTATTCATCTGATTTGCATTAGATGTTCTCTGCAACACTTACTGCGTGCCCCTCAGAGTATTAACTTCAGTAATTCAAGTTTAAAATTTAGAAGTTTGGTTATTTTTCTTCTCCTGCTAAAGCACAAAAACCTTGAAATGTGGCAAACCTCAAGTCTACACGTGAATAATATCCCCTGGTACATCAGTATCTTTTCATAAGTGGTGTTAATTTCTTTTCTTTTGCATTTTCAGTTGTTCCCAAACTTAACAACGTATTTAGCTTGGAGATTGATGGATTCATTTCCTACATCTATGGAAGCAAGTTCCAGCTTAGAGCAAGTGAGCGATCTGCAAAAAAGTTCAAGTTGAAAGGAACTATTGACCTATGATTTCATGGAAAATCAGAAGTATTACTAGAAATGTCTGCTGTTTTCTTGCAGTTTAAAGACCAGGTTTTCTGGTAGATGAAATAGCTATGTGAAATTTTTCTAAAGCATTTCTTCTTACTGAAGAATGACTAGCATCTGTTGTCTTTTAAGCAGTTTCTCAGACTGTTGGAGTTGTTTGTATCTGGTTTTGTCATTCCTATATAACATTCTGGCTTTTATTAAACTTACATGATTAGTACTGATCACCTGACTTCTGTTTGAATTTATAATAATAAATTTGCACAATGAAAATTATGTCATGTAACTCTGTGATAAATGTTATTGTTGCCTTCTGTACAAATTGGGCTGGATCTGCATATTATAAGCTTAGAATGAGAGTGTAGGCAATGACAACTGCTCTTCTGTAATCATTGTTCCTGAGCCAACATCAACATCTTTGCCTGGTGCAAGTAAGTTGTTTCAACTGATGGGTTTTACCTGTAATATCTAATTCCCTGTGGCTAATATTGTTACAGATAAGATGTTTTTGAGTGAAAATATAAACATACTAAACATGTAAGGCAGCCCTGCAAGCTGTTTGCTTACAAGGTGTTTACTAATAACATACTACTTTAAGGTTAAATCAGGTCTGTCTATATTAGTAAGTATATATTGTTATTCCAGAGTGCAGGGAACACAACACATCACATAAGAGGGAAGCACTTGAAGCTAGAAATTCAAAGATGGAATTCAAAGATCCCCATTCAATCTTGTACTTCTATTACCCAAGAAGTCGCTTTACGAATATTTAACCTCTATTCATAGAGCTTTACTCTAGCTTATTTTTATATATATTTTAGACATGGTGTCTATGTTACACATTTAAAAAAATATCTTTATTCTTATTAAAATACACACAATTTTTAAAAAGACTAGCATGGATGGCACCTGTTATATCACGTGTTTGTGAGCGCTACATCACTGGAACACAAGAAGTCATGTAGTTTCATAACGTTAAGTCTTCTAAACTCAACCAACCATGCTTAGTACAGCACCACTTGTGAAGAAGCTTCTAGTGTTTAAACCCTTTATAAATACTTGCTTTTTGCAACAGCCTGCAACAGTGATTGTAATGGAGACCACCGTACTTGCACCAGTGGAGACTTGTTTAGCTTTGAGTGCATGTGCTTCATGTATCCCCAGTTCCTTTTTATCTCCTTTTTTCACCTTTTTTTCTTTTTACTATATACTTCCAGGATACTTTTTTGACTGCCCAGATTACAATCTCCCATCAACTAGGCAGGTTTGACTTGTTTGGGAGGTGAAAGTGACCCCTGTACTTAAACCACTTAACATTTTTCTATTATAAAAGAGCTTCTATGGTGTTTATGTTATAAAGGTAGTTTTCAGAAGCTTTGCATTTAAATTATGAATTCAGTTTCAGGATCAAATGGAAGATCTGAATCTAGGAAGAAGAGTTTTTCCCTGCCACCATTCAAGTGTTTATAGCCAACCAGGGTCATTTCTTTAAAGAGAACATAGCTGTTCTCACATACACTACACACCAAAGCCTAGTACTGGGGTTAGGAGGGCAGCTCCAGCTAGAGCTCTTAACTGCACTGCAGAGCACACAAGCCATTTATCTGCCATGAGAAAGCCAAAGAGCATCACCACCTGCAACCATCTCCAGTCCAACAAAAACACTAACTGTGCCTGTCAGCCCCCAGTCAGTTGGCCTCCAAAGCGCTTACTTCCTTTCTGGACCTGTTGCTGGGAGAGGTTACAGGAGAGCTGCATCTCTCTGCCACAATCCCTCAGATGCAGACCAGATTCAGCATCACTGAACCAGACTCTGATCAGCTGAAATCACAGCATGGGCAATACTGGTTTTCATGAAGAACAGACTGCTGCTCTGCACCCTCTGAAGTCAGGAAATAAAGCAGTTGGTATGGAAATAAATCTTTGTTGCAACTGAGATGGGGAAAACTGTTTTTGCCAGAGATGTGTATTTTATACAAGGAAGTCATAGAATCATTAAGGTTGGAAAAGACCTTTAAGATCATCAAGTCCAACTGTTAACCTAGCACTGTCAAGTCCACCACTAAACCATGTTCCGAAGCACCACATCTACATGTCTTTTAAGTACCTTCAGGGATGCTGACTCCACCACCTCCCTGGGCAGTCTATTCCAGTACTTGACAACCCTTTCGGTGAAGACATTTTTCCTAATATCCAATCTAAACCTCCCCTGGCATAACTTGAGGCCATTTCCTCTCATCCTATCACTTGCTACTTGGGAGAAGAGACCAACAGCCACCTCACTACAACCTCCTTTCAGGGAGTTGTAGAGAGCAATGAGGTCTCCCCTCAGCCTCCTCTTCTCCAGGCTGAACACCCCCAGCTCCCTCAGCCGCTCCCCACCAGCCCTGTGCTCCAGACCCTTCCCCAGCTCCGTTGCCCTTCTCTGAACACGCTCCAGCACTTCAATGTCTTTCTTGTACTGAGTGGCCCAAAACTGGACACAGTATTCCAGGTGCGGCCTCACCAGTGCCGAGTACAGGGGCACAATCACCTCCCTGCTCCTGCTGGCCACACTATTCCTGATACAGGCCAGGATGCCGTTGGCCTTCTTGGCCACCTGGGCACACTGCTGGCTCATGTTCAGCCGGCTGTCGACCAACACCCCCAGGTCCTTTTCGGCCAGGCAGCTTTCCAGCCACTCTTCCCCAAGCCTGTAGCGTTGCATGGGGTTGTTGTGACCTAGGTGCAGGACCCGGCACTTGGCCTTGTTGAACGTCATACAGTTGGCCACAGCCCATCGGTCCAGCCCATCCACATCGCTCTGTAGAGCCTTCCTACCCTCAAGCAGATCAACACTCCTGCCCAACTTTATATATCGGTGAAGTAAGAACAAGATGTGTTAAAGTTGTTAGACCTGAGTTATTATTCTACCTAGTACCCATCACTCCTCTCAATGTTCTCTGGAATTAGAACCCTTGGTTTCCTGTGAGAGGCCAGAAGGAAAAACAAACCAAGCAGTAGAAAGCATAAATCATAGCAGAAACTTTCTGTTCAGGACAATGACCTAATTTTAATTTTGCTCATAGCCTTCAGTGTAACATCTAATTAAGACATCTGTTAAATGCCTATAATATTAAATTAATAGGGGGAAGCTAATAGAATTTTATTGGCATAGTCCGGTTAATTAACATTAAGGGCCTTTAATGGATGTCTTAAATAGACATCATTAATGGGAATACCATACAAATTGGAATTAGGCACAATCATGTTTCACTGTGCTGTGAAGGACGTGCCATGTTCTACCATAGGAACACAGATGAACATGATACAACTTCCCATAGCTACTGGCACTTCCATTTTTTAAACTATTTCAGCAGCCAAAAAAGACAAACGCTGCCTAGCAGTCCCTTTCGATAAATAATAGCAAGGCATTCATTATTTACAGTGAAGAGTGCTGAAGAGATGTTCAAAGGTCTCCTCAAGGTAATCACATGCTAGTAGCACATGAAGACAGATGACAAATGAAGAATAACAAGAGAGCTGAACAGCCAACGCATTCAAGACGCCTTTACTGCAGTTGGTAAATCACCTGAAGAGGCCTTTTTGTAATGACTCAGCGAAGTGTTCCGAACGGTCCCCATAAATCACTTAAGCTAAATCGCTCCCACAGACCGCTGGTATCACCGTCTACCCATCAGCTCCTTGAACCAAACCCCTGTCTCATCTGCTTTCTCCTCTGTGTGCATCTTTCACTAGAACCCATTAAACTCCCCATTGCTTGTGAAGGAACTTCCTTAGAAACTGGGTAACATGAAAATGACTGCTCACCAGTCCTCCCCTGCTGATTCATGACCATTCCCCATCTCTTCATTAGCTGAGACAGTAAATACTTAATGGATTTAATATCAGAAAATTGGAGAACTAATCACAGCTGTCTCTAATATGCCTCTTCCTTCTTATGTTCCATGCCAAATTGCATGCAGCAAAGACACGTTTTTCATAATGATTTTTATACCTAAACTCTCACTAAAGAAAAGGCTAACCAGGCAATAATGAACAATATACTGTCTCACTACGTTACACATGTTTCTGCTTTCCTATTACTATGTATATATAATATATACAAAGACACATATATTTATAACCAATCTGAACTGAAACAATTGTGAAAAATCCAGTTACTGAATTTTGAACATTTAAGCAGGAGTGGGAAAACAAACAAAAAACCACAATAATTTCTGTTTGAAACATCAAAATAATTCATTGTAGGAAATGCTTGAAATTAAAGCCAAGTCACATCCAAGAAAACACACAATTTTCTATTTGAGGGTTTTTTTTAACACTTCCTCTAAAAGATGGATTACACAACAATACAATGGAAACCTTCAAAAACCTCCTGGGACTCTCCTTGGGAAACTCATATTAAATCACTGAAATCACAGCAGCATGTACCTGATGTTAACTCTATATATTCAAGCCACCCAATGTTTTAGAGAAGCATAAGAGAGAGCATAAAATTCTCATCCGGACAAGAGCCTTTTTTAATGAATTCTCAAGTCCTGGACAAGTTTGTCCCTCTGGCAGACTCTCTTTGTCCATTTTAGTATTTCAGATCTGGGAGGACTTGCGTCAATGCAAAAGGTTAGAAGTCACTTCTCAGCCTCTTACAACCTTTGACCAAGCAACTCTTGTTAAACAAACCTTAAAATAATTTGGAACAGTAACACATAGTCCTTAAGAAGCAGCTGCATTATGCAAAGGAGAAGTCCTGGCAAGGACAACTAGTATTTTTTACTAGAACAATGCCCCTATTGAACTGCAAAAGAAAAGGAGAGGATATGGCTATGCCAGGCTGATACGATCTGGTAAAGGAAGCTTGTTCTGAGGTATGCACATAGAAGGTAGGCAAACCCGGCCTAGCTATTTTTGCCGTAATTTGCAAATCGTAGGTTTAGAAAGCTTGACTGGAAGCACTGGTGGTGTTTTCTAATAGGAAGAGACCAAAAAAAGGAATGGGGTGAGAAAGAGTACATAAGAAAAAACAGAGTGAGCTGGAGTTCAGACTGAATAACAAAGGGAAGGAGAATCAGTTTGGTAGGGAAAACAAATCCTGCAGAGAAAAGCTGCAGGTATTCATTGGCATGACACTGGTCATTCTGTGCATCATCTGCAGGCTTCCGCTTTCCTAGGAAAA